TAGGCTACTGCGGTGACAACAATGGCGGATATGATCCAAATGCTCTTTGTTCAGAAGATCCAACTACATCTGCAATTGTATGCACCTGTAATGCTGGTTATACTAACACTGGTAGCGCCGACAACGTTGTCTGCACAGGTATGATGATTTCAGATAAGATTAGAAACATTTCCTCGTCATTTTTATCTTTCCAGATAGTTGCACTATCAAAAATGGAGGTTGTGGTCCACACGCCGCTTGCTCACATCATGCTAATACATATGCAGTAAAATGCACCGATAAAGCTGATTATACCAACAGGGGATCGGCATCGGAAGAGAGACGCACCGATACAAGATCGGCATCGGGAGATATACGCATAGGTACAGTATCGGTCTCGTAGAAGAAGAAATATTTTGCTGTTGCATTCTTGTGCTGTGCGAAATGTTGTCTGGTATTGCGTTCTTCATCAGTTCATCTATGAAATTAATTCTCCTTTTACTCTCATAATGCAAGTTTCTCCTATGAATTATCAGGTTGCCTTTCGCTCCTTAACTACTTTCTTCTTTGCATATAAGCACGGACGTTGCCTGTAAGAAAAGTGTACTGGTATGAGATGAGCAGAATCAGTTATAGCTGGAAAAATCGCGGTCTACTATTTTCTCTTTATAGCAAATGAAGAAATTTCATAACTTACTTAATGAAATTGGGTATGATTCTGAAAGCTATAATGGTCTGTGATTGGATTTCAGAATTAGTTAAAGTGTTCGTCTACCGATCAGGTTGTTTTCTTCTAAAAAACGGTGTTGGTGGTCCGTATATCGTACAAAAAATCTTCAATTGATAGGTATTAAATAGTTTTTGTATAGCCATAATGCAAATCATCACTGAGAGAACTATTCTTAAGGGTCGATTTCGATTGATCGATTAATTATCTCCATGATTGGGTGTTGGTATAGATTAGCAGAAGAATCACACCCACACTTCAGCGCGATAGAGAGAGATATCTCCTTTTATTCTTATGTTTTATCTTCTAGTTACTATTCCTGCTAATGCTAAATGGTCACAGAATGGTATGAATATTGTTGGAGGTAACGGGGTTGGGGTTGCCACTAATCAACTCAACTGGCCTCAGAGTCTCTTTGTTGATGCTGATCAAACAGTGGTTATTGCTGACTACTGGAATCATCGTATCATCCAATGGAAGAACGGCGATACAACAAATGAACAAGTTGTTGCTGGTGGCAACGGTCAAGGAAATGGATTAAATCAATTGAATCGTCCAACCGATGTATTAATTGACACCGAGACGAATAGTCTCATTATTTGCGATCGAGAGAATCAACGAGTTGTACGATGGTCTCGTCTTAGTGGCACAACACAAGGTGAAATACTCCTCGACAACATCTATTGTTGGGGTTTAGCAATGGATGAACAGAAATATCTCTACGCCTCTGACACCGGAAAAGGTGAAATAAGACGATATCAATTGGGTGAGAAGAATGGCATTCTCGTGGCTGGTGGAAATGGACAAGGTGATGGACTCAATCAACTTAGCAATCTTTTTAATCTCTTTGTCGATAGAAAACACAATGTCTACGTGTCAGACTACTCGAATCATCGTGTAATGAAATGGAATAAATGTGCAAAAGAAGGTATTGTGGTCGCTGGAGGACAAGGCCAAGGGACTGCTCTGACACAATTGTCTTATCCTTATGGAATCTTCGTTGATACGTTGGGTACATTCTATGTAGCAGACTCGGGGAATAATCGCGTAATGCGTTGGACTCATAGAGACAAGAAGCAAGGCACTGTAATTGTGGGTGGAAATGGTCAAGGAGCAAGCACAAATCAGTTCTACTCCCCCCATGGTTTGTCTTTCGATCGATATGGTAATCTTTATGTCGTCGATTGTAATAATCATCGTGTTGAACAATTTTCTATCGAATAAGACTTGTGAATTGTTTTTTCTTTGTTCGTTTCTTTTTCCATACCTTGAAATGAATCAACAAAAAAAACAGTTTCCTTTTACCCTTTCACTTCAACGAAAAGAAAAAAGCTAAATATAAGATTACGTCATATGTTTCTTTTCTTCTTCTTTTATTTATTTGTTAAATGAAAAGAAATGAATTAAATAAAAGAATTTGTTTTCTTTCACAAAATATTTATTCCTGAAGTGAAAATTAATTTGTTACTTTGAAAATATTTTATTCCTGAAAAGAAAATTTGAATTATTTAAACAAAAATAAAATTTGTATTATTTTGAAAATCATTTATTGGTAAAATGAAAATAATTTGTTAGTAAAATAAAATAATTTAGTAGTAACATTTATTTATTTATTAGTGAAATGAAATAAAATTTGTGTTATTTTTACAAATTTTATTCCAGAAATGAAGAAGAAAAATTTTGTATTATTTAAATGAAAATTTGTATGTTTTTGAAAATATTTATTCATAAAATAAAATAATTTATAAGTGAAAGTAAAATTTTTTTTATTTTTACAAAATATTTATTATTGAAATGAAAATAAAATAATTTGAGTTATTTAAATAAAGTTTATTTTAAAAATCAAAAAAATTAAATTACATAAAAATTAAGCAACAAGAATCGAAAATTTATATACTTACATTTGTGTTCGTTTGAATTGAATTGAATTGTTTGTTGAATGGAACTAAAACATAAAAAGTAACAATTTATTTTATTTGTTTGGAATAAGAAAATAAGTGAAAGAAATTATATTTACTTTGTTGTTGAAGAAATCGAAATGCACTAAAACGAAACAAGCAGAAATGAATTTGATTACCAGCTAATAGTTGCTCGCGCGACCAAGAACTACTTTGGTGGTGCCATAGACAGCCAAGGCTCTTCACGTACAGACATAGATCTAGCGTGTATAGAACATACAACAGGAAGATCTATATGCGGCCTGTG